GGGCTAAAAGTCAGGGCAAGAAAAACTCTAGAAGTTTGGTGAAATGGAGTGTGGGGAGTTGGGGGGTAGGGTGGGAATGGAAACAGTCCAAATCTAGTGACTGTTTGATCAGGATTTTTTAAATGATGATAATTAACTTCTAGAACAAGAATGAATTACTCTGTTATAATTAGTAAAAGAGGCTTCTTGTTTTTCACTCTTTGCTTTCAGAGAGGACCAATGACATCATGGGGTGATGTCTCGATTCCCACGTGAACTGGATTGAAGTGAGGCAGAGCTGCAGAAAATCGTCACCTCACTCTCATTTCCAGAGTCATCGGAGTCCGATGGAAAGACAAAAGTCAAGATGACTGGCGGTCGCCTGGGACACTGTTATGATTTCTGACCAGACCATCGGGGAGAGCAGACATCGGTTAAACCATTAAATCAACAAATTGTGAATCGAAATGTCGACATAGGAACAATGTCATCATTAATTAATTTTCTAAGCACCGATAAGTATAGCTGATTACACTGTTTCCTAACCCAGAATGGAGGGACTCTTGGGTCCGTCTCAGAAAACCATGGCGGACTCCTGATTGTGCTGCTATGTTTTGAATTTTGAAGCAACTGCCAAACAACGGAGAGTCTTTAAGGGACAGAATCATGAAGGGGTAGTGGGAAAGGAAATGAAGCTATCCTGCTCTAAAGTCTTCCTCTGAAGCTTCTTGGAGGTGTAAAGATGACCCTGGTTTCATCTCCTTGGTTGAGCATTTCCCAATTACATTTTAATCTGGTTTGGGCCGCACTTGGGGCTGCAATGTGACCATTGGTGTTGGACCCCTCTGGCTTAGACAAGTCATTTAATATCCCTAGGGTCTCAGTTTGCTCTTCTGTCTTGTATATAGTAGGCATTGAGTGATTGATGTGTAAATGGAAAATATTGGACCAGTTGGCTCTGAGGGCCCTTCCAGCTCTGGGTTCAGGGGAAAAGGATCCCCTTTCCCTTCATGCCTAGCTTAAGTGCCACGTCTACATGAGGGTCTTCCTGGGCCTCCCAATCGTTGGTGTCCCTGGAGATTCTGGAAGTCCAGAAGCCTCAGTAAAAAGACCCTCTATGGACAATATCCTATTCTGCTGAAAGTCAATGCCACCTCCCAAGAATAAACTGACTTTTCGGAGTACTCTTGTTGATGACCAAGATGATGATAGTGACAATGAAAATGATCAAATTACCTTCAAATTCAGGTCAATGGATGACTGGGTGATTTCTGGAGGCTCCAAAAGGGAGTAATCTAGCAGGATGTCCTCACCAAACTTGGTTACAACTAAATGAGAAGCAAAGGAAAGAATTGACCCACATTACAAAAGGCACGCTAGAATATAAAAGCTGCACCTATCCAGAAAAAAAGATGGGATTTTGGATAGCCAGAAATGCAAAAAACAAAGCACCACACACACACACACACACACACACACACACACACACACACACACACACACACACAGAGACAGAGAGAGACAGAGACAGAGAGAGAGAGACAGAGACAGAGACAGAGAGACAGAGAGAGAGACAGAGAGACAGAGACAGAGACAGAGACAGAGACAGAGAGAGACAGAGACAGAGAGACAGAAAGAGAGACAGAGAGACACAGAGACAGAGAGAGAGACAGAGAGACAGAGATTGAAAGGGGAAATATTGAGAAGGGGGTGGGGATGAGAGAGACAGAGATAGAGAAAAAGATAGAGAGTTGGGGGGAAGAGAGAGACAGAAATGAACAGAGAGATGAAGAGAGACAGAAGGGAGAAGAGAGAGACACAGACAGACAGATATAGAAGCACAAAAAGAAAGAATGAGGGAGAAGATTGAGAAGTGGGGGAGAGGGAAATAAAGACAGAGAGACAGAGAAGAGAGAGACAGACAGAAAAATGGTCAGACAGCCAGAGGGGAAAGAGACAGAAATGGACAGAGAGATGGAGAGAGAAACAGAAGAGAGGAGAGACAGAGACAGAGAAGAGACAGATAGAGAGATGGACAGAGAGACAGAGGGAGTGAGAGAGACAGAGAGACACTGGGGAGAGACTGAGAAGTGGAGGAGAGACAGACAGAGATGGAGAGACAGGGGTGGGTAGAGAGGCAGAGAGATGTAGAGTGAAACAGAGGCAGGGAGAGACAGAAACAGACAGAGGTGGAGAGACAGAGGGAGAGAGAGAGACTGAGGGGGAAGACTGAGAAGGGTAGGGGAAAGAGACAGAGAGAGTCAGAGAGACAGAAACAGAGAAAACATAATATGATCGGACCAAGAAACTGGAGAAGTTCTCTGTGACCACTGACTTGCTCCTAAGTCACATCTGTTATCACCATTGCCATTTTCAGAGAGATAAGGAAACATTCTTTGGAACTTCAGGGCTAGCTCTGTTCCACTTTCTGAAACATGGTAACCACATCACAGTCAAATTCTATGGGCTTCATTTTGGACTTGGAAAAGAAATCTGTCCCTGATCTATGGCATTTTCTCTGTAATTGGACTAATTCTTCCCTACATGGTTGCTATCGATATCATCATTAGGGCAGCATAAAGCATTTTATTTTATTTGATTTCATGTTTGACTGAAGCCAGGACTAGAGGTAGGCAGGTAAAGGCAGGCATTGCTTTGTGCAATGACAGATACTTTCTGTTCTTTTTTAATTTTTAAATTTTTAATTTTTTGCTAGACAATTGGGGTTAAGTGACTTGCCCAGGTTCACATAGCTATTAAGTGTTGTGTGTTGTGTGTCTGAGACCGGATTTGAGCTCAGGTCCTCTCTGTTCTTGTTTTAATAAATACATACATTTTTAATGGGATTTCTATTCTCCCAGGGATGTAGATATTTACTGAGTGATCAGTCAAATGGTATACCTTAGAGTGAAGTCCCAAAGACCCCAGAGGATAGTTATACGTAAGGAGTGTGGCAATTGGGGTTAAGTGACTAATAAGTGTTATGTGTCTGAGGTCGGATTTGAACTCAGGTCCTCCTAACTCCAGGGCTGGTGCTCTATCCACTGCGCCACCTAGCTGCCCCCAAAAGCCAGGATTTTCAAACCATATTCCAGCTTCATTACAGATTCCACAGATGAAAGGGGAGGGGCCATAAGAGATGAAGTATCTTGCTAGATGGGTACAAATAATTAATAGTGACTAATGTGGAACTAGGGCTCAGAAGATTTAACTTTCAGGTCTGCCCTCAGCCCACTTAAGCCTGACCTTGATTACTACAGCAATGTACAGATGAACTCATTTGGGAAAGGACTGAAGGAAGACAGAATGCCCTGTGGGTCTTAAGAAGACAGCTATTCATTGTAGCAATGTGGGGCTGGATCATAGAATCCCAAAATTTAAGAGTTGGAAGGGACTACAGTAGTCCACCCCATACCTGAAAGAATAAAGATAATGGCTTTGGTATAATGTTCCCAAATCACCACATATTGAAGATTATGACTGGAAAATATAGAGGAGGAGGAAGAGGAAGAGGAGGAGGATAAGGAGGAAGTTTGATAGGGCGCATGGCATTAGAGATCTAAGATCAAGAAGACCTGTCATTGACATATACTGGCTATATGACCATAGACAATGAGTGCCCCAGGTAACTTGTTAAATCTATAAGTCATAGGTGAGTTGCCAAACTGTATTAGTAAAGAAAGTTTCTATTTCCAGAATTTACTATATGGTTGAATTCCATTTGCTCCTAGCATGGGTCACATTTATTTAATTCTTTAAAGTTAGAGATTTTTAAATGGAAATATTCAAGAAGAGATAGCTAAAAACGGTCACCTTCCAGAGAGCTTATATTGGCATTTATATCTTCAAACCGATCCATGATAATTGGACATAGCTGGATAAAAAAAAAAAGGATAAAAACATCATTATTATGTTATTGCAACACAAGAAGAGATTGCCATGTAGGACACAGCTATGTTGAGATGTACCTTTTTTCCCTCAGGAGTGCCCTGGTATAAATTACAGGCCAAGAACCACTGATGCTTCTGGGGGCCTGAATGTATCAGTGCAGCCTGGGAATATGCCTGGTACTTGATCCCAGGCTAGAGAAAACCCTCTGCTGGGTAAATACCACCTAGGCTGGTTTGACCTTGAGCCACATCCTTTTCCCATTTGATCTTTTGCAGAGGGACCCTATTTAAGTCACAGTAGATCAGCAGCCCTGAGATGTAGAGAGTAAACATCTGGCACAGACCATTTGATACATCACCAAGTTTGGGGACTAAGTGGGGCAGAAGGAACTATGGAAGAACAGCTGTGGCTACTCACGTCCATACAGGGCCTCTTAACCTCTTTCTAGCTCTGGACCTGTAATTAAATTAGGAAATCTGGCAAAGGAAACTCTCTTTAGCAATGCCGGAGAGTAGCTGCTTTGTAATTTATATTCTTAGAGAGCTTCCTGGGTTCACTTAACCTTAAGAGGTTAAGTAACTTCCCCAGGTCAAACAGCCAGTATATGTCTGAGGCAAGAGTGAACCAAGGTCTTCCTAGAGTTGAGGTCGGCACTCTGCCCACTGTCACTGGCTGTTATTTCTGAACATTCTTCAGTTAAAACCCATGACAGAAAACCATGAGTATGATCATGGATCCTTTGTGTTAGATACTTTGAACCCAGGACTGTGACAGAACCCAAAGTACAACACATGTTGCTTATAAACCATATGCATCTCTCCAATTTATGAGCTAGATTAATGGTAATAAAACTGGAAGAGATCTCTAGAGATCATCTGTAACCCTAACAGATGAAGAAACTGAGAGTGATTTGCCCCAGGTTACACAGGTAGTAATTCGGTGTGAGATCTGAACCTAAATCTTCTATTACAAGAGAACTATATTTGTAACATTCTATCTTACTTTGTATGTACTTGGTACATACATACATACATATATATATATATATATATATATATATATATATATATATATATATATATATATATATATATATATATATATATATATATATATATATATATATATATGTACACACACATATGAGATCACTAGGATGACCAGAAGATGATTAATTCTTTGGTCATGCTAATTATGATCTATTAAGGAAGAGTCTTTCACTCTGCAGTGATGGAGGAAGGAGCTTTGGTTACTATGTCCAAAGGGTTATAAAACTGTCCATGCCCTTTGATTCTGCAATACTGCTATGTCTATATCTCAAAGAGATTTTTTTAAAAAGGGAGGAAAGAATTTATTTTATATATTTTATATATATATATATATATATATATATATGTATGTATGTATACACACACATATATTTCTAGTAGCTCTTTTTGAGGTGGCAAAGAATTGGAAATTGAGGGGGCGCCCATCAATTGGGGAATGGCTGAACAAGTTGTGGTATATGAATGTAATGGAATACTATAGTGCCATAAGAAATGATGAGCAGGATGTCAGAAAAACCTGGAAAGACTTGTATGGTCTGATGCTGAATGAAGTGAGCAGAACCAGGAGAACTTTGTGCACAATAACAGCCACGTTGTGCGATGACTAGTATTGATAGACTTAGCCCTTCTCAGCAATACAAGGATCTAAGACATCTCCAAAGGCCTCATGATGGAAAATGCCATCCACATCCAGAGAAAGAACTGAAAGGGTCTGAATGCAGATTGAAGCAGACTACTGGTCACTTTAATTTGTATGTGGGTTTTTGTTTTTCGGCCTGTGTCTTCTTTCACAACATGGCTAATAGGGAAATCTGTTTCTCCTGGTTTCACATGTATAATCTATATCAAACTGTTTACTGTCTCAGGGCATGGAAGGGAGGAGAAGGAGAAAAAAATTTGGAACTCAAAGTTTTAAAAAAATGAATATCAAAAATGGTCTTTACATATAATTGGGAAAGATATTATTTTAAAAAAAAGAATCTCAGTTATAACAGTAGCTCTGTAGGTCCTCAAGGTATTGAAAAGGTCCAGAGCACAGGCATCTGAGCACTGTTACCCTGCAGTCATCAGAGACTTACCTTTTTATTCAAGTTCTTCAGAATGGGTTTCTCCATTGGCTCAGCAAAGGAGTTGTATAGGACACTAAAGGAAAAGTGGAAAAAATTGTGTTTACATATTCTAGAAAAATCCCTGATCACTGGTTGGAAACATTTCCCCAGCCCAGCTGCTTCTCAGCCAGACTCTCTCACCCACCTGAATTCTCCTGAAAATGAAATGTGGGCATGCCCGACTCGAATGTAGCAATCTTCCAGCTTCATGGTTGGGTGGCCTGTGTCGCTCCGGGACAGGTTAACGAGACCCGAGAAAAATATCTCAGCTAGAAACAGAGCGGCTCCTCCTTCGTCTCTGCTGCTCATCAGACAAAAGGCACAAGCTTAGAACAAAGACCCATGATGGGTGGCATTGAATTATGAATGATAGTCATAATATAATAGCTCACACTTTAAAAGCACTTCTGAATTTACAAAGTACTATTCTCACAACAGCCTTGTGAGGTTGGTAAAAACACATATTATTATTATTCCCACTTTATAGCTGAGGACTGATTCAAGAAAAAGACTGAGGGAGTACCAGCTCTGGAATCAGAGGTCCTGGGTGCCAATCCCCGACTTCTGATGCTTTTTACCTACCACTGTGACTGAGGCCAAGTCACCTAGCCTTCCTGGGCCTCAGATGGATTTTAAGGACCCTTTCAGTTGTGAATATTTGATGTTATATTTCTGTGATATAGTACTTAATCTCTCTGGGCCTCAGTTTCCTCATCTGTAAAAGGAGAGGATAGGCCTTTGAGATTCCTTCCAGCTCTAAGATTACAGTTTTGCAATGTGTTAATCTTTGTTACGAGTGAGCACATATTGAGAATCATCTGCAAGGTCTAGCACCCTGTTCACTTCACCACAATGCAACTAACCCACTCATTTTATGGGGGATGATACCAGGGAAGAGGTGTGATGGACTTGTCCAAGGTCAAAGTAGTAAGCTCCAATTGTAAGCATCAAAGACGGAATTTGAACGCAGGTTCAGATCTGAACTGCTGCCCTAGACAGCTCTCTTTCCATTATACTATGCGGGCTCATCTGGCCTCAGGCGTGGGAGGGACATGCAGGTAAATCTGGTTCTGCCCAGCCCTGAAATGGGCAAACCTGCTTAGAACAGTGGGCTTTGAAACGAGTCACTGCCATTGCCCCAGTGGGAGCCAGCCAGCCCTCCCAGGCGGGAAGGCAAGGCTGGTCTTTCCACTCCGCTGGCTCACAGGCCTACGTTTCAGATGAGCTGGTTTACACTTGTTATAATCAAAGCATCCTAGATTTACAACTGGAAGAGAAATTACAGATTCTTCAGACCAGGGGTTCTGGACCCCTTTATGTATCACAGACCCATATGGCAGTCAGTCTGGTGAAGTCTATCTCAGAATGTTTTAAATGCATAAAATAAAAGAGCATTATTATTATTATTATTAAATGTTTTAAATAATTTGATAATTCATTAACTTGATATTAATTCAATTATTAATTATTTAAAAGGGTATTTTATTAAATGGACCAAAAAACAAGATTACAAAGGAAATCCATTATTCTGAAATACAGTTGGACCCCAGGTTAAGAACTCTTGCTAATTCAACCCATTTTACAGATGAGGATCTGAGACCCAGACAGATTAAGTCCAATTCAATAAATCAATTAAAAAAAACATTTATGAAGTGCCTACTATGTGTCATGCATTGTGCCCAAGATCACACAGTAGTTAGTAATAGAGCTGGCATTAGAACCCAGGGCCTCTGACTGCTTTTTTTTTTAGTGAGCTCACAGGATTATACGCTCATAGAGTTCTAAATCGAAGACCCTGTATTCTTACTGTTGATAGCACAGCCTGTTTCCAAATCCTGTGCACTTCACACTACACCAAGCTGCTGTCATGGCTTACTTTACAAATGAGGAGACTGAGGCCAACTATGGTGAATTGACCTACCCAAGGTCACACCTAGATATACATATATCTAGATATATATGGATTGCCTCACAACTTCCCCAGTGAGCCAGTTGGTAAGAGAATAGAGTGTCCCAAAGTCTTAGTTTTAAGCTTGAAACTATACTGAGACTTTTGGGATATCTTACACTTTTATACCCATTTTACAGACAAGAAATCTGAGGCTCAGAGAGCTCAAAGGATTTCCCTAAAGTCACACAGTTAACTAGTTAGTGGTGGACCCAGTACTCAAAATCTGTGTCTCTTCACCTCCAAATTCATCTCTTTTCCCACAACACTGTGTTGAAAAGGGCCAGCAGTACTTGGAAGTCTGGGGTAGACTTGTATAGCCAACAAGGGTTTCTAGGAAGCAATGCCTATGAAGGCCCCCTTCAATAATCTATTTCTCATTAGTTGAAATGAAAATTAATTTCTCATTAACTGAAATATTCATTTATACAGTAGTGTGGAAATTCCAGCAGTTAAGTCAGGGTTGAGTAGAATTTAGCTTAGTGATATGGTGGTAACTCTGGGACTCTCTAGGGAAAAATATTATTTATAGTATTCTTCGACGTCAGTAATACCGTGTATCAATTCCTTTTCATAAAGGCAGGTGTCCTTGCTGAGGTTTAGAACCCTGACTCTGGAATCCAAGGAACTGGGTTTGAATTCCACCTCTGACTTTGACATTTTACCTCTCTGGGCCTCAGTTTCTTTTTATGTAAAACAAGGAGGTTTGACTAAACGACCTTTCACCTCCAAGTCTAGGATCCTATAAAACAAAGTGATTTTAGTCTGACAGCCTCAAGCCACCTTTAGAGTCTAAGCTCCCTGTTTGTTCCAGCAGAACCTCTGACATTTTGGCAATACTTACAAAAGCGGAGATGTGACTTCCCATGCCATACTGACATTTGTTGAACCGTGATTACTTAATACTTTAACTCCAGTCCCAGACACAGGGGTTAATGAAATATTTGGAAATGAGAAGGTATTGATCTTTATGCTGTTTAAAAAAAAAAAGAAACAGAAGCATTACTTTGATATTTCCTTCTAGAAGATCTGAATGAGCGCCCGATGTATGGGTCCAAATTTGTCACTCATTGAGTAAGAACGATCCATACTCCCTCCTTCCAAAGCTAAGTTCAAGCTTACCACCTTCGTGGAGCTTTTCCCAATTCTCCCTGACGGTCAGTGCCTCTCCTTCCAAGATATCACCTTGCATGGCTGGGGCAGCTAGATGGCTAGGTGGATAGAGTGCTAGGCCTGTAGTCAGGAGGAACTGAGTTCAAATCCAGCCTCAGACACTTACTAGCTGTGTGACCCTGGGCAAGTCCCTTAACCACTGCCTCAGTTTCCTCAACTGTAAAATGAACACAAGTCACTTGACCTCTGTTTGCTTTAATCCTCTGGAGAAGGAAATGGTAAACCAAGCCAGTATCTTTGCCAACAAAACCTCATGGACAGTACGGTCCATGGGGTCATGAAGAGTTGGACGTGACTGAACCACACAGGGCTGGTGTGAGGATCAAATGAAATGATACTTGTAAAGCACGTAGTACAGTACTGGACACATAGTAGGCGCTTAATAAATGCCTGTTGCCTTCCCCTGCTCCCTTCTGACTTTCAAGCCTATGCTTTTTCCATTATAACATATTCCTTCCAGGCAATTTCCAGGTTCTAAGCCACCTCAGAGCTCTTGTTTGAAGCTTATCTTCACTTGAGAGTCCCCTCCCTTATTAGCAAAGTGAACTGGAGGAGGAGACTATTAATTAGAACATAATTAGTCCCTAACCTAGCCTCCATGGATTTTTTTTAAAGTGATGGGCTTGAGTCTTTTTACCTGAGATATAAGGTGTCAGAGAATGAGCTTTCTCTTTGGATTCCCTGGAGATCTTTTTTGACTAAACAAGATGTAGCTAGGAAAATATGCAAGTGTACTTTACATGGATTTTAAAATTTTCAAAATTAAATGCTATTATGGTGGCAGGCTATGCAGGAGTCTAACTTTGGTGTTTATTCATGGCATGGAGAAGAATGATCTGGCAGCTGAATCTGGGCTCTGACAGGCGCTGCCAACCTGGGAAGGCTTTGAGTATGGTCTGTGGGGAGGGGTGAGGAATCTGTGGCCCTCTAGGTCCTCAAGTGCAGCCCTTTGACTGAATCCAAACATCACAGAACAAATCCCCTTCACAAAAGGATTTGTTTGTAAAACTTGGACTTGGTCGAAAGGCTGCACCCAAAGACCTACGTGGCCTCGAGGCCGCAGGCTCTCCTCCCTGGGTCTCCTGTCCAAGCATCAGCTGAGCCAAGGATGGTGGAGCTCATCACCAATAAAGTGGCCGTGGAGGGGCAAGACCAGGCAAGAGTCATGAATTATTTGGCCATGGCAAGCTGTGAAGGATGCAAAATGTTTATAATAGTTCTTAGCGTTGCATGGTCCTCTTCCATTTTTGTAGTATGATTTAAAAAAGGGAAAGAGGTACTAAGAATTATATCATTTTTAGACCAGGGGTCCATAAACTTTCAAAAAAGATAGCATTATGATTACTACATTTCAATATAATTGGTTTGTTTTGTACTTTTACTCTTTTTATTTTATGCTTCGAAAAACACCATTCTTTTTTTTTTTTTTGACTAGGCAATGTGGTTAAGTGACTTGCCCAGGGCCACATAGCTAGTGAGTGCCATGTGTCTGAGGCCGGATTTGAACTTAGGTCCTCCTGACTCCAGGGCTGGTGTTCTATTCAGTGCAACACCTAGCTGCCCTGTAAAAACACCATTCTTAAGAGGAGTCCATAGGCTTTAACAGACTTGCCAAAAGGGTTCATGAAACAATGGTTAAGAACCCCTGTACTATGTAAATTGGGCAACCAAGTGTCTCAGTGGTTAGAGCACCAGGCCTGGAGTCAGGAAGACCTGAGTTCAAATCTGGCCTCAGACACTTATAAGCTGTGTGACCCTGTGCAAGTCATTGGCCTCAGTTTCCTTATCTGTAAAATGAGCTGGAGAAGGAAATGGCAAACCACTTCAGCATCTTTGCTGAGAAAACCCTAAATGGAGTCACAAAGAGTCAAACATGACTGAAATGGCTGAACAACAGCAAAATGATGTAAATGAATGAATGGAAACACATTTATGAAGCATATACTCCATGCCAGACGCTGTACCAAGTGCTGGAGACACAAATGTGAAAGACTAAATATTAGCCGTCAGAACTTTGTGCATGATTTCTGTATGATTCTTGTTTAACAACCAAACAGACTGTTAAAAGATTGAGGAACCGGTCCAGGACCAGGCCCCCACACCATCTGCTTTAGTGTCCCTGCCGTGAGCTCACTCACAGATAAAGGTCCACTACACTGGGAGCTAAGACTCTACTCTTGGCTGCCTCTGGCTCTGAGAGCTGAACTTTTTGTTATCTTTAACCAGGAATCAGGCTACCATGATCCTTCTGTGCCATCCCCCTGTGTGGGTCCCCTCCCAACTTTCCATCATCCTTTTGTGCAGACAAGATGACCGGTCTCTGAGCTCCTTTCTAGTTCCACATCTCTGTGATGAATTAAGGTAGCACATCACGTTTCCATGACAGCGACCCTCTTTCTGTTCCCTGTTGTACTAAATTAAGAATTGAATGAATCACGCCTCTAAACACTAGGTCATATTTCTCTTTCTGGTGGTAGGAAACTGAATTTTTGAAAAGTTATTTGCACATATTACCTTTTTACAACTCATTCATTCATTCAGCAAACATTTATTAAGTGCTCACTATTTGTAAGTGTAATGTTAGACCTACTAAGGCAAAAAATGAACAATTCCTGCCCTCAAGGAGCTTACATTCTAAGGGGAAAAGGGAAAAAAATATTATGAATGGAGAGAATGTTCCTTTCTTTTACTTACTTTGAAAAATTATAGTCAACGTAATCAACCTTTAAAAATTCAAGAGATTCAGAGCCTTTGAAATCAGGAATACCATTTTTCTTCACTATCAGCTCAATAGCTTCCATGCCAGCCTGCATACCTGAAAAGGGAAACAAAGAGATTTGCTCTTAAGTGGACTGATAAAGTTTAGCAGTTTCTAGGCCATGGTCCTGACATAAGGACATTTCAGATTTCCGTACGGCAGCATGTCAGTAAATATTCTCCAAAGCATACTCCAGACACTGCTGCCCCAGAGGAACCTTAGTTAGGTCAGCTCTGCAAACCCTTGAGGGGAGAAATGGAGAATTCAGTGGCTCCAGGGGATGGGACTGACTTAGAATGGATGTATGACATGCTCTTGCTGAGTAAAATGTTACAGAATCACAGAACTTGAGGCATAGATTTGACTTCTAGCCTACATCTGCCTCTCCCCACCTTCTACTCATCACTCTTCTGACTGAACCCGGGGTTTTCCTACTAACTGCATCATAGTCGTTGGAAGAGACCTTAGGAACCATTTAGTCCAACCCATCCTCAAAATGTAATTCCCTCTATGTAGAACATAGCTGATGAGTGATTATGCAGCCTCTGCTTGGAGACGTCCTAGGACTATACTGAAGGAAGGAAAGGCCTCCATGGCTGGGGGGATGGGAAACGCTTCATCGGGAAGGCTTTTAAAAAACATTAATTAGCAACTGATTTCTGCATGAGAGATGGCATTGATCACATAGTCCCTCTACCACTCGGCTGTGAAGAAGGTGAAAAAACCTGTCTGAATCAAAGTTTTCTCTCTCTAGGATTATTGGCCATTGACACAGTCTATGTTACCAGACTGTCCTGAAAGGGACGTATTCAGCAAATCCTATGGAGCTCAGGAATGAGGTGGGTATTCTCACTGCTGAAAGCTCAAAGCTTACCATAGTCCAGGCCCTTCTGAGTAATCCTCACTTTGATTCCAGGGTAAAGCTGAGTGGATTGAATGAGAGGGTTCCACAGGAGGAAACAGCCACAGAGGACCAGGATCTTCTCCGACTCCATCTGTTCTTTGGAGTGATCTGTTAACCAATACAAGTGGTTATTAAGTTATATGACCTCCGTTTTCCCATCTGTAAAATTTAATATTTGCACTGCCTACCTCCCCAGGGCCTGGTGAGGAAAACACTTTTGTACATCTTCGAAGGTCTATAGAAATGGAAATCATTGATGGCGTTCATTTTAGGCAGAGAAGGGAATACAAGGAAGGCCAGAAAGAAACAAAAACAAGACGGCTTTGGGAGTTACGGGTTGGACTTAGTCTATATTTAATAATGAGATAATATTTGTTACCAAAAAAAGTGCTTAGCACAGTGCCTGGCACATAGTAGGACCATATAAATGCTTATTCCTTTCCCCAATAAGAAAAGCAAGCCATCCAGTTTCACACACAATCTTTCTTTTCTGTTCTACTGTATCTATGGAAATGCCCATTTTATTTGGTGTTTGTATATTTTGGGATAAAAATAAATCTAAAGATATGTATCATTCATTTTACCAGAGTGCACTCTCCATCAGTACAGGGACCATGTCTTATCTAAACTGTATCTTCCTCGGTGCCTAGCATTGTGCCCTCACAAAGAAAGGGTCTAATAAACATTTGGGGAGTTGGAAAAAATATTTAGTATTATTTTAATTATTCCTGACATCTTTATAGGGATAGGATCATAGGAGTCAGAGGCAGAAGGAACTTTATAGATTATGTAGTCAAGAGGTGTCAATCACATCCTTGACATACTCTGGAGGACTGATTGCCAGAACAGAATGAAATGTTACTGGGAAACTTTTTTTTTAATAAATTTGTTTATTTTTAGTTTTCAACATTCACTTCCACAAGTTTTTGAGTTCCAAATTTTCACCCCATCTCCCCCCTCCTCCCCCCACCCCAAGATGGCATGCATTCTGAATATCCCTTCCCCTAGTCTGTCCTCTCTTCTATCTCTCTCCCCTTCTCTTATCCCCTTCCCCTTCTATTTTCCTGTATGGCAGGATAGACTTCTGTACCCCATTTCCTGTATTTATTTCCCAGTAACATGTGAACACATTTTTTTTAAACATATGTTTTTAAAACTTTAGGTTTCAAATTTTCTCTCTTCCTCCCTCCCCACCCACCCTCATTGAAAAGGCAAGCAACTCAATATAGGTTGTACATGTGCGGTTATGCAAAACATGTCCATAGTAGACATGTTGTGAAAAACTAACTCTATTTCCCTTAATCCTATCCTGCCCTCCCATTTATTCTATTCTTTCTTTTGACCCTGTCCCTCCTCAGAAGTATTTACTTCTGATTACCCCTTTCCCAATCTGCCCTCCTCTCTATCATCCCCCTGCTCTCTTGTCCCCTTCTCCCCCTATTTTCCTGTAGGGTAAGACAGATTTCCATACCCAATTGAATGTGTATGTTATTCCCTCCTTAAGCCAAATCCTATGAGAATAAGATTCACTCATTTCCTCTCACCTTGCCCTGTTTCCCCTCCACTGTAAGAGATTTTTCTTTTCTGTTTTTTTTGAGATAATTTACCCCATTCTACCTCTCCCTTTCTTCTTCTCTGAGTATAATCCTCTCTCATCCCTTAATTTTATTCTCCAGATATGACCCCTTAATCTTCAACTCACCCTGTGCCCTCTATCTATCTACATATACATACATATAATGTTTTTCCTTCAACTACCCTAATACTGACAAAGGTCTCATGAGTTATAAATATCATCTTTCCATGCAGGAACGTAAACAGTTCAGTCTTAATATGTCTCTTATGATTTCTCTTTCCTGTTTACCTCTTCATGTTCCACTTGAGTCCTGTATTTGAAAGTCAAATTTTCTATTCAGCTCTGGTCTTTTCATCAAGAATGCTTGAAAGTCCTCTATTTCACTGAATGACCATTTTCCCCCCTGAAGGATTATACTCAGTTTTGTTGGGTAGGTGATTCTTGGTTGTAATCCTATCTCCTTTGCCCTCCGAAAATATTATATTCCATGCCCTGCAGTCCTTTAATGTAGAAGCTGCTAAATCTTGTGTTATCCTGATTGTGTTTCCATAGTACTTGAATGTTTCCTTCTGGCAGCTTGTAATATTTTCTCCTTGACCTGGGAACTCTGGAATTTGGCTACAATATTCCTAGGAGTTTTCCTTTGGGGATCTCTTTCAGGAGGAGATCTGTGGATTCTTTCAATTTCTATTTTGCCCTCTGGTTCTACTATATCAGGGCAGTTTTCCTTGATAATTTCTTGAAAGATGATGTCTAGGCTCTTTTTTTGATCATGGCTTTCAGATAGTCCAATAATTTTTAAATTCTCTCTCCTGGATCTATTTTCCAGGTCAGTTGTTTTTCCAATGAGATATTTCACATTGTTTTCTAATTTTTCATTCTTTTGGATTTGTTTACTGTTGTGATTTCTCATAAAGTCACTAGCTTCCAATTGCTCTATTCTAATTTTTAAGGAAGTATTTTCTTCAGTAAGCTTTTGGACTTCCTTTTCCATTTGGCCAATTTTTCTTTTTAGGGCATTTTCTCCTCATTGGCTTTTTGGACCTCTTTTGCCATTTGGGTTAGGCTATTTTTTAAGGTGTTATTTTCTTCAGTATTTTTTTGGGTCTCCTTTAGCAAGCTGTTGACTTGTTTTTGATTTTCTTGCATCACTCTCATTTCTCTTCCCAGTTTTTCCTCTACTTCCCTTACTTGCTTCTCAAATCCCTTTTGAGCTCTTCCAAGGCCTGGGACTGATTCATATTTTTCTTGGAGGCTTTGGATGTAGGGGCTTTGACTTTGTTGTCTTTTTCTGGTTGTATATTTTGGTCTTCTTTTTCACCAAAGTAATAATATAGTCTGACTCTTTTTGCTCTGCTTGCTCATGATCCCGGCCAATTACTTGAATTTTAAACTCTTTGTTAAGGTAAGAGTCTGCTTCCAATGTGGAGAGTGTACTGTCCCAAGCTTCAGGGGTTTGTACAACTGTTTTCAGAGATACTTGTAGGGACCTATAAATTTTCAGTTCTTCCAAGGTGGTATGATAAGGGGCGAGGTGTTTACTCCTTTCCTGGCCTGTGACCACAAATATTCCTTTCTGTCCTGTAACTGTGAGGAAGGGTTCCTCTCCACAGCCACTCCAAGCTCCACCACGCCAGCGCTCCTCCTCACCCCAGCACTGCTGCCCAGAACTGTGACCCAGATCCAAATATGGGCAAAGCAAGAGATTCCTGCCTCAGCACTGGGAAAGAGATCCCTGCGATCCCTCGCTGATCAGCCACTGGATTCCCCCTCAGTGTGTGGGCCGGAAGCTCGGGAAGCAGGTGGCTCCCCCCCCCCCAAGGGCCATGCTCTTGGGGAATGGAGCTGAGACCCCGCCATCTTTTCTCATCACCAACAGAAACAGACTTTTCCCACCGACCTTCTAAGTTGTCTTTGGCATTGGTGGATTTGAGGAGTCTGGAAACCTCCACAGCTGCCCACAATTCAGTCTTCTGAGGCCTGCTCCAGGTTCCCCGTGGCCTGCGCGCCCACACCGTGCTGCGCTGTGCTCCCAGCCCTGCGTGATACACCTTTCTGATCAACCATCCTGGTTGTCTTGGGCTGGAAATTTGTTTTACTCTGTCTTTTTGTGGGTTCTGCTGCTTCAGAATTTGTTTAGAGCCATTTTTTTAATGAGTATTTGGAGGGGTTTGGAGGAGAGCTCAAGCAAGTCACTGCTTTCACTCCGCCATCTTGGCTCTGCCCCATTACTGGGAAACATTTAAGAAAATAAATAAAAATACCATGGGACATAGATAATGTTAATATGTTGTTTTCTAAGTCAATATGCCCAGCAGTGGTCCTTATGTACACTTTAGTGGCCCCATTTTGATTTTACATCACTGATGCAGTCCTATGCCCTCATTATACAGATGAAGATATTGAGGGTTGGAGAGTAAATGATTTTTTATTAAAATAATTTTATGCTTAATAAGAAAAGTGAATTTTAAGTAATCAGAGGTTCACAGTTTTATGAGCAATCCTCTCTGTCTTACAATGCATATGGAAATGCTCATTTTATTGAGTAGGTTTGTTGGGTTCAGAATAAAAACAAAATTAAGTGAAAATTTTAAAATGAGAGGAAATAATTTTATCAAGATCATGCCAAGAGTATATAACAGATTTTAAATCTCAAGTTGGAAGGAGCTGATTATCCAATTACCTTATTTTACACATTAAAAAAATTAGGACCCAGGGAGGTAAGTTTCTTATGAAAGATCAAAGAGCCAGTAAGTGTCAGGGTCAAGATTTTGAACCCTCTGACTCCAAATTTAATGCTCTTTCCTCTGTATCTTGCTGCTACCTCTCATTTTTGCTGTCCACTTTTAGGACCTAGATTAAAATTGACATCAGTCAATTTTATAGAAAACCTACCTTGACATCACACTCCCATTGTTTTCTTTCTTTCCTTCCTTCCTTTGGGCAATCGGGATTAAGTGACTTGTCACATAGCTAGCAAGTATCTGAGGCTGAATTTGAACTCAGGTCGTCCTGACTCCAGGACTGGTGCTCTACCCACTGCACTGCCTATCTGCCTCACCGCATTATCATTTTCTTAATGAACTGAGGCATAAAAAAATGCTGGACAGATTAAGTTAGGAGATAAGGGATGTGAGGGAACACTTACAACCTATGACAGATGTCACTGAGGCAGGTGCACGTACCAAGGAAGGGAATGCTACTAAACAGCCACTCGATAAATACACATTAAATTAATAAGCAAACATTTTGTGGGGGTGGTAAGGGAAGAGGAAGTCGTGGTAGCTGGGTATTTAGACAAGCGCAGGGAGCAGAGGAAGGTCACTTCCCCTTCTCAGGGAAGGATTCACCCGTATGAAGGATGAGGAAGCTGCTTCAGTGCTGAAAGGAAAATGGTGGTTTTTTTGAGGTAGGAACATGTTGATGGAGAAATGCAAGGGAAGGGAGACAGCATGGAACAGTGGAAAGAAAGTACATTGGTTCTGGATTCAAATGACCCAGGTTCAAATCCTCCCTATAATATTCATTGCTT